CATCTTTGAATTCGGCTGGCTGCCATCTTTGGAATGCCTTTGTTGTGACCAAACAAAGCTAGAAGAGGCTTGTGATCAGTGCGCAAGGTAAACGTATTACCTTTTAAGTAATGATAAAATTTATCACACGCGAAAACTATTGCTAGTGCTTCTTTCTGAATAACGCTATAATTTTGCTCAGATTTGCTGAGAATTCGTGATGCAAAAACTACTGGCCGTTCATCCTTACTCTCAAAACGATGTGAAAGAATAGCACCGATTCCCTTTTGAGAGGCATCACAGGTTACTACTATTGGTACATTTGGATCAAAATGTGCCAGTGTCACTTCCTCTGCTATTTTATTTTTAAGTAATTTAAACGAAGTTTCGCACTGATCGCTCCATTGAAAGTTCGCATCACCTTTTAACAATTCGTAAAAAGGCAGCATAATATCTGTGTAATTGTGTATAAATTTACTGTAATAGTTCACCTTACCAATGAGCGATCGAGCTTCCGAAACATCAGTAGGTCTTGGAGCTTTTAAGATTGCGTCGATACGCTCCGTAGTTTTTGCTAAACCGTTCTTATTAATTTTAAAGCCTAAATATGAAACCTCTTCCATAAAAAACTCACATTTCGACCTTTCTATTTTCAGCCCAGAGGCCTGGAGCCTTTTAAGAACCTCTTGTAAATTTTGCAAATGTTCTTCATTGCTCTTTCCTGTTATCAAAATATCATCCAAAAAGTTGATGACATTCGGGATGCCTTGCAATAATTTTTCGATTTCCCTTTGGAAAATGCTGGAAGCAGGCTTTATGCCAAAAGGCCTACGATTCATTTTAAACACACCTCTATGTGTGCTCCAGGCACATAGCAATTTTGAAGGTTCGTCCAACTCAAACTGATTATACGCTTTAGCTAAATCTAGTTTTGAAAATAAAATCCCATTTTCCAATTTGGAAAAAAGATCTTCTATTCGCGGTAGTGGATGTTTCACATCACATACAAATTTATTTAAAGTGACTTTGTAGTCTGCACATATGCGAATAGATCCATTGGGTTTCAAAACTGGAACTAAGGGCGTTCCCCTTGCGGACGTCTCCACTTTTGTGATAACCCCTGAGTTCTCCAGTTTTGTTAACTCATCCTCGACTGCTGACCTAAACGCAATTGGAATAAGGTGTGGCTTGACAAATATTGGAGTTGGATCGCCTTCTAAACGCAGTTGTACTTTATCGTACTTCTATCTCCCTAATTCGTCATCGAAAACTGAATTATATTTAAGGAGTAATCCCTTAAGCCGGTTGGAGTTCTGAACTTGAATACTTTGCACTTCCTTCCAAACAATATCAAAAAAAGAGAAAAAAAATTCCATCCTAAAATTAATGGTCCTTTTGCATCGACCACAATGAACTCAACATTTTTTACCTTCTCATTATATTTTACTGCAGCACAGAATGAACCCTTAACTTTTAATTTATTTCCTCCATATCCCGATAA